CAGTTTCCACCGATTCGCAACATTATTTACGACTCTCTTTCTATCTATTTTGGAAGTGTTGCCCCTTGTTGTTGTCTCCCCCACTTCACTTGATTTGTTTTATGATTTTCACCAAAAACTTCAGAAGAAAGAAAAGATGCCGCCAGCCAAAAAATTGTAATCATTTGATGAATTTCCGCACCGGTTAACTCTTTTTTTATATGAATCACATTGAGATTGGAAACGATGATAAAATTAAAGTGAGAGAGAGTGGGATAATTTAAAGAGACGCAGACACGATTCTATAAGAATTTTTATTAGTCATAAAGTTTCTGCTGTGTCGCAACAATTACGACAAAACGGGAGTCGTCTCTTTTCTGAATTTTTATTTTTATGGGTTACTGTAGGTGTATTTTTATTGAAAATAAACTAGATGGGAAGAGAAAGAGAAGTTAATTTTTTTTTGAACTTTGAAAAAAGTTTAATGATCAGAGAGATCACTTTCCTTCAGTTGTAGCCTAACTTGGGTTTCTAGGCCAAGACTGCTTTAGGTTGAGATGGCCTAGGCTTCCCTGAAGGTTTCTAGGCCACCAAAGTCTTCACAATCATTTTCCACTTTTTAGAACTCAAAAATATTGATTTTGAGCCGAGTTACACCAAATTTTCTGGAATTGCTCAGAATAAAATTTTCCAGTATTTCGACAATTACTCGGCTGAAAAGAAAGATTTTCGATTGGTTTTTAGACCATTTTGTAGAGAATTTCAAGACGAATCTGGTCATATGAAATGTATTATGGGGGGTCGGTGGCCTAACTTTCCGGAAATCGAATTTCTAGGCCACATAAAGTTGTTTTCCTAGGTCACCAATATTCACATTTCCTTCTGTTAAAATTTTATGACCTAACTTTTCGAAAATTTGGCTTTCTAGGCCACCAACAGATTTTTTTGTTTTGTTCGCATGGCCCAGGAGTAAAAATTTTCAGATTTCTAGGTCATCGGTCTAGCTTCTCAACCTCATCCAAAAAAAACTCCGGAAAACCCCTGGAGAATCCCGGAAAAACCATGCAGAAACCCCGGGAAAAAAATCCGGAAAAAACCCGGAAATTTCCGGAGAAAACTCGGAAAATCTTTACTGACACTCCGGAGAAACCCCGAGAAAAACCACGGAAAATTCCGGAAAATTCCCGTTTTTTCAGGGTTTTTGCAGTGTTTTTGCAGTATTTTTATTCCGTAAAAATCCCGGAAAAATCCCGGAAAAAAACCAGGAAACCCCGTTAAAAAACCCCCGGGAAAAATTCCTGAAACACCCAAGAAAAGTTCCGGGAAAAAAATTCACCCTGAAAAACCACGGAGAAACCGCGGGAAAACCTTGGAGAAATCCCGGGGAAACTCCGGAAAAACCCAGGAGAAACCTTAGAACACCCCTAGTGAACCCCGGAAAAAATCCCGGAAAAAACCCTGGAAAACCACAGAGAAATCCCGGTAAAACCTGGAAAAACCCCGATAAAATCCCAGAAAAAATCCCGAAAAAACCATGGAAAAACACCGGAAAAACCCCGGAACAACCCCCGAAGAAAAAAAGCGGAAAAAAATTCCGGAAACCCCCCGTTTTTGCACTGTTTCTGCAGTGTTCCTGCACTGCTTTTGCAGTGTTTTTGCAATGTTTAAGGTCAATTTTTTCCATTCTCTTGGAATTGCAAAACATTTCATTCTTTGACACAAATGCACATAGAAACTTGATTGACAGGGATCCGAAGGTGAAGAAGAAGTAGGTAATGGGAAGTGATTATACAAAGAGATTTTTGTGTTGATGGGGGTGGGGCGGGGGTGGGCGAGGCTTATATAAATATTAATATATCACAACAAGAAATGGATAAAAAGTGTCTGGATTACTGTAGCGATTGGGAGGGGAAAAGCACCAAATGATGGGAGTGGGGAATTGTTTGCGAAGAGATAACTGGGACACGGAACTTTTTTTTTGAATGAAAAAAAATTTTGAAGAGACCATTGGGGGAGCAACCGGATGTGATGCACAATTTAAAGCGACTAGCCCAATTCAACCATATTTTTTAGAGAAAGAGAGAGAGAGAGAGAGACGGAGAGAAAAAAGGGCTCCGCGACATTTCGAAACCAGACATTTCGGAACCGTCCAAATTTAGGCTTGAAAAATTCAAATTTTTGACACGATTTTTATCGATTTTTGACAAAATCAGAAAAAAATAAACTTTGAAATTTTTTTTTGAAAAAAATTTTTCCGAACAATTTTTTTCAAATTTTTTTTCAAAAAAAATTCGAAATTTGATTTTTTTCTAAATTTCCAGAAAATCGATTGAAGACATGTCAAAAAATTTACTCGTTCCAATCGATTTTTCGCAAAATTAGAACGAAATAAAATGATCTTTTTTTTTTGAAAACAAATTTCTCGAAAAAAATTTTTTTTCCACCGAAAAAAATCGAAATTTCATTTTCTTCTAAGTTTCGAGAGAATCGATTGAAGACGTGTCAAAAATTTTCATTTTGTTGTCTCGTTCCAATCGATTTTTCGCAAGATTAGAACGAAATAAAATGAACTTTTTTTTGAAAAAAAATTTCGATAAAAAATTTTTTTTCCAAAAAAAAGTTCGGATTTTTATTTTTTCTAAATTTCCAGAAAATCGATTGAAGACGTGTCGAAAAATTTACTTGTTTCAATCGATTTTTCGCAAAATTAGAACGAAATAAAATGAACTTTTTTTTGAAAAAAATTCTTTCGAAAAAAAAATTTTTTTTCCAAAAAAATCTGAAATTCAAATTTTTTTCTAAATTTCCAGAAAATTGATTGAAGACGTGTCGAAAATTTTTATTTTTTGACACTGTTTTTATCGATTTTTCGCAAAATTAGAACAAAAAATGAAATTTGAAAATTTTTCGAAAAAAATTTAAAAAAAAATTTTTTCAAAAATGATCGAAATTTTTTCTGTAATAAATTTTAAGAAATACGATAAAAATCGTGTCAAAAAACTCGAAATTTCAAGCGTAATTTGGTCTCGAAACGTCGCGGCGCCAAAAAAACGTTAGAAAAAAGTGTTTTAAGGTAGGAATTAGGGGTGAAGAAGAGGGGGAGAAGAGAAAAAAAATCGATAAGAGAAAAAGAGCAATCACGCTCCAGTGGACACTACGAGGGTGGTGGGGTCGCTGGGATGGCCACCACTGAATTATTGCCATTCGACAAATGCTCTTTGAGATGTTGCTCCAACTCAGCCGGCGAGGCGCACACTTTCTGGCACACAGAGCACACCGTCCTCCACAACATCATCATCATCTCGAGACCCGATATCCCATTAGGACCGCCCAACATTGCCAAGGGGGAGGGGCCACCGGGACCAGCGGGGGTGGACGGATTCTCGGTGGAAGAGGCCACGTCGAAGATGCGTCGTCCTGAAGTGTCTATATATTAGGGGAATAGAATTTTGTGCACCACGACGAATTTACTTACCACGACGAGACGGGGATTGTTGCCAGGAGTGTGTGCCCATGTGCACTTTTAGGTTACCGCGGGTGGTGAAAGCGCGGCCACACATCTCGCATTTGAAGGGTTTGTCGCCTGGAAAAATAGGATTACTGTAGCTTTCGTGGTGGGACCCAAAAATTTTTTTTGAGAATCTAGTCATGATTATACTCATGCGAACCGACTTGATGAGCTGATTCGAATGGTACCTTTTTGATCGAAATCCGACAAAAAATAACCGAGATACGGTGATTTTAACATTTTCGTGGTGGGACCCAAATTTTCCAAATTTTTTGTAACCTAGTCATGATTATACTCGTTCAAACCGTCTCGACGAGTTAATCAAAATGCACCTAATCTAATAGTTCTAGACCCAAAACTGGCCGAGTTACAGTATTTCGTGGTGGGACCCAAAAATTGCTCAGAATAAAAACATTTCTAAACCTAGTCATGATTATACTCCTTTTAACTGGCTTGATTTACTAATTTAATGGTATGCTTTGCATAAAAATCCGACGAAAAATCACCGAGATACGGGAGATTTTCAATTTTCGTGGCGGGACCCAACCATTGCTCAGAATAAAAAAATTTCTAAATCTAGTCATGATTATACTCATTCGAACCGTCTCGTTAAGCTGATTCCAAAAATCTAGTTTTCAGAGAGCCCAGAGCAAAACTGACTGAGAAAACTACTAACCTGTATGCGTTCTCATATGAATCTGGAGTGCAGAACTCGAGCTGAAATGCTTGAAACACACACCACACTGATGTTTCGAAAGGACCGGAATGGCACGTGGCGGTGGTGGCTCAGTCTCCGCCCACATTTTTTGCATCGCCAGAAGTGGATTTTCGTTTTTGGAATTTGATGGAGGGGTGGAGGCCTGACGCTCGAGGATCGGGGCGGAGTCTTCTAGTTTTTTGAGTTCCTCATTGGCTTCTAGGATCTCCTGACGGATGGAGGAAGAGCTCTCGGAGCTATTTGACGGGGATAGAGATGCCATTTTTGGTGGGTCGTCACGGGTGATCTTCTCTCTGAAAATTGGCAATAGAGCGGGTTTGCATAGGAAAAAACCAAAATTAGCGTTAGGGCAGGTTTGCAGCCATGGAAAATTGAAAATTTTTGAAAAACAAAAAATTATCAATAGAGCGCATTTTCATCAAAATTCTAAAAACTTACTCAATGACACTGGAGGTATCCGTATTGGGCGACGTCTCATTATTCTTCAGTTGAGCGGATAATATATTTGCCAGATTGAATTGCGTCGACATGTCCGTGGCATTCAGTGATGGCGGTGTGAAAAATGGGACGAATGGGAACGTTCTGCAGCGAAAACAAAATCGTAAAAATGGGAAAAGAGACGCAGAGAAGTGATAAAATCTTAGAAGGGGTGGGTGTGGGAAAATGCGCTCTATTGCAAACAAGAAAATTTGCAATGGAGCGCTAAAGCTTCATCTATTATGCCTGCTAGCTCCCTTTCCCCCTCTCTCTCTTTCCGCGCCAATATCTACGCCCACTCTCCCTGCGTCGTTTGTCGCACCCATGGCCTAGTGGCTAGCGCTGTTGATTTTGGATCTGGGCACCCGGGTTCGACCCCCACTGGGTCAATTTTTTTTGTTTTTTTTCTAACTCACTGAACACGTGTCTGCTGTGGTGTGGGCATCACCCTCGGCGGTTGGGTCAACGAGTTCCGATGCTCGGCGATATGCACGGCCATCTCCTGAGCGTTCATGAACCTCTGCTGACAGATTGGACACTGTTGACTCGGTTGGATCTGTGGGGTGACCGGGGTCTGAATATGAAGGCGTGGAGCTTGGGAATTCGCGAGCTGAGCCGCCGCCAAATGCGGTGGAAGAGAGATGGGAAGGCCGCGGAACGAGTGCTTCGACCTATGAACCCCCATATGCGTCTTCAGATTTCCTTTCGTCGTGAACGCCCGCTGACAGATTTTACACTTGAACGGCCGCTCTCCGGTATGGGTACGGTAGTGCATTTGAAGGGCGGACTTGCAGGACAGGACCCGCCTGCATAGAATACACTGGTTGGGGTCTGTAGTCGGGACGGCTTTGTCGCCAACGAGGGCTCGGATTTTTTCGGCCTCGTCACTGGTGGAGATCTCCATCAGGGCTTCCCAGTCATCATCGTTTTCATGTCGGCTGGCAAAAATGTCCGCTCGAGGATCGAATGGTTGTCGCATTAGGACTGAAAATAGTGTTTATTTTTGTTTTACATTGTGGTCCTGCCCTCCAAAAAAAAACAAAAAAATTTGACCACGGGTGGGGTTGAACCCGGGTTGAAAATTTGGAAAACGGCAGCCCTAACCGCTAAACCACGGGTGCGCCGCTTTTTCTCCTCGTGGTGTCGCCCCCACCCCCTCGGCGCCCCATGGTTTAGTGGTTAGCGCTTTCGTTTTCCAAATTTTCAACCCAAGTTCGATCCCCCGTGGGGTCAAATCTTTTTTTTTTCTTTTTTCTAATTTCCTGACAACTCACAATGAGGTGGCACATTTGGAAACGTCGCAAACGGCGGTAACGCATGCCCAAATAACGAGGATATCTTATTTCGATCATCGGATTTTTGAAGCAACTGCCCAAAAATGTGACTAGCGGCCTGTTCGCCGTCCTCTGCCTCCATCTCCTCTTCCTCCTCCTCTTCTCGATTTTCAGATGACGTTCCGATTGATTCATTTATTGAGAATTGTGGACACGGGGTGGTGGGGGTGGATAGAAAACATGCAGATGATGGGATCGTGGTGGGTGGGACGGAGGAGCTCCGCGAGGCTATCGATTTTGGACATTTGTGCTCACGGATCTGGAATTTTTTTGGTAGATCAAAAAATTCTCTATCGATTGGTTTAAGCGTTAAAAATCTGATAAAAGTTTTAGGATTTCGTCAAAAAAGTCAACTATGGCCTAACTTATCGTAGATGGCCTAGAAACCGCCTGTTGAGAATCTAGGCCATATCCTATCGGTGGCCTAGAAACCTTATTTTGAACACCTAGGCCACATCGTCACCTAGCTTGGTCGATGGCCTAGAAATCTGTACTCCTAGAAATCACTTCGCCAGAAATCCTAAGCCATCTACTCCAAATTTCGTCGATGGCCTAGAAATCCCACTTTGGAAAAAGTTAGGCCACACAAACTAGGAAAACCTAGGCCACCACTCACATCTTGCCCACTCGAAAACGTCGCCGAACATCCATCACACGAGAACAGCTCCTGCTCATCCTCATGGGCGTCCAGCACGTGCCACGTCAGAGCCGCCTGTGTTGCGAAGCTCTGAAGAACATTCTTGGTTATTGATTGATATGCAAATGCGCTCTGTCGATAATTTTGGATGAGATGCTCCTTTTGGTGCTTGCATGTGTCTGCTTCTTCCCCCCCCCCCCCCCGCGCGGTAATATCTACGCCCTCCCCTCCTCTCTCTGCTATCGCCCCCGTGGCCTAGTGGCTAACGCTCTTGTTTTCCAATTTTCATATCCCGGGTTCGACCCCCGACGGGTCATTTTTTCTTTTGCATTTTTCTAAAACCATTTTCCACACAATAGAAAGGCAACAATTCGCATTAAATCGAAAATTATGGGGGGTACACACTCGCACCCTCCTTCCATATACAGTAATTCTCATTTTTATTGGTTTTTGTCGCGACAGGGTCGTTGCATGTCGCAACATCTCGTTTTTAGAATGGGCGCAGAATGACAATTTCTTTCTTTGTGTTGGGGAAGGGAAATACAACGACTAAATAATACCATTAAAGTTATGCTGACTGGCACCACAGGGTTACGGTAGAGGTCACGCGAAAACATGTTATTAGGTGGATACTGTACCTGGGAGCATGACTGAATGGGACATGAGGAGGAGGTGGTTGTGGCCGAGGCCGTGGAGGAGACGTTTCGAGAAGACACCGAATTTGTGGTGGTTCCAAGTTGAGCGCATAATGAGAGGAACTGAAAAAATTTATTTAGCATGGGGTTTTTCAAAATTGCAGACAGGTCAAAATTGTCTTAAAGTTGCCTTAAAGGCGCATGGTTTTTTTCAGAAATTTGAGGTTTGTAAAGTTTGTTGCCTTAAAGGCGCATGCTAGGATCTTCTCAGCTTTTTTGACTGTAATTTTGCTTAAAATCATTATTTTTGGATCGTTCTTGGACCAATTGATAGGATTTTTTCTGGCTGAGCTCATAATGCACAAAATTGTCGATTTTTGCCCCGAAAATCAGCGGTTAAACCACAAATTAAGCCTAGACCACCCTAGGGCTCCTGTTTTGAAGATTCCACAGTTTTCAAGTTTTCGCCCCCTATTTTAGGATTATGAGGGCCTGAAGACAAAGAATGGTAGATCAAAAAATTCTCTATCGATTAGTATAATTTTCATATGGTGTCGTTTCGAAAAAATTCGATCAAAACCCCAAAAACCTTTTTTCAGGAAAAAAATTTTTGAGAGTAATTTTTTTGGATTTTCAGACGAGTTTTTCTTCAAAAACCCATATGGAGTTTATACCAATCGATTGGAAATTTTTTGATCTATCGATTGGTATAATTTTCATATGGGGTTGTTTCGTAAAAAAGTAGGTCAAAATTCAAAAATCGAAGAAAAAATAATTTTGGGCCAAAATATTTTTTGTCAATTTCTGACCCAAGTTTTTTGAAACAATTTTATATGATATTTATACCAATCGATAGAGAATTTTTAGATCTACCAATTCATGAATTTCTGATTTCGAAATAAACGAAATTTAGGCATGTAAGTATCCGAAAAACGAAAAAATCCCTCTATTTTTCCGATTTCCCCATAAAAAATAAAAACTGATATCATCATTAGTACTGTACAATTAATGTGGTTTCTTCTGCTTGCTAGTGTTGTGTGTGGGAACGAATAATTTCGAAATTCGATTAAATATTTGTAATGAGATGATGATGCCAAGGACGGTTAATGTGAATCTAATGAAGAAGAAGAAATAAGGAGATGAACCTATTAATAGAATGATTGGGAAAATATATAAAAAATTTTTCTGATGGGAAAATTTGTGGTAGATCAAAAAATTGTCTATCGATTGGCAAACTAATTTCGTGTCTGAAAGCCTTGTAGCTGGAATTCTAGGCCATTAAGACTATTGGGAATAGCCTAAAAGAGTTTCTAGGCCTTCTCACCTGCTGCGGACTAGTGAATGGCACTGAAAAATTGTTTAAAATATTGGATCGGTCCTCTAATGGATGTGCCTTCTCGCAGTTGTTCTCGTCGAAACTTTTCGTGGATAAATCGATTGGAGACATCATCGCATCACCTTCTGTAAGGAGTAATTGATAGAATTTTGAAGGTTTTTATGGGGGTTTGAAGGGTTTTTAAGAGAAAGTGCGAGGATAATGAAGGAGGACAAGGGAAATTTAGACAAAATTGGAATTTTTTTGCAGATGTCTCGGAAACCAATGGAGATAGGAAAAAGTGATTAACTAGTAAAATGTGTGAAATGAAAAAATGAACAAGTTTGCTGTTGACATGTTTTCTATAGCTACATCAGGAGCCAAGTTATACAGGTTTCTAATGGTTAAACGCTGACCCGCTGACCCATTGAACAGAAGACATGACTTCAAATTAGTTTATCTCTGTAACCGTTATACCTATCAAAAAGTGATCAACTAGTAAAATGTGTAAAATTTTATTCTGAGCAAGTTTCTTCTATTTTCAACTGCTATAACGCTTTTTGAGGTTACGAATGGTTTAAGGGTATTAAAATTTAGAAAAAAAGGCAAATTCTCAATTGCTATGGGATGATCAAGTGATATGTGCCAATTTTCAAAATTTCGGCTCTTGTGCTATAGATCAAGTGCTATTTTCGCCATGTCTCAAATGCTATGACTTTTGCCTCATGTGCAAAGGCCTGACAAAAAAGTCTGCGGAAAAAATAAGGCAAATACTCAACTGCTATATTTGGCTCTTCTGCTATGGATCAACTGCTATAGCCATGTGAAAAAAATAGCACTTGATCAATAGCACAAGAGCCAGAATAGCAGTTGAGTATCAACCAAAAAAAAAGTTTCCTTTATAACTAAAGATAAACTTCTACTTCATCGATCATCACAATTTAATTAACCTCTTCTCCTGCCCCTTGACTCCGCCCCTTTTCGCATCCCCCATTATTTTTTTTCGAAATTTTGCGTGTGTCTCAAATATAATGTTAATCGGTTTCCATTCAACCAAATATTTTTCTTTTCGGTTCCGAAAGAGAGATCTCATAAAATTTCGGCAACAAACAGAGACACAGTTTGACATCGGGGCGCTATTGCTCGTTAACTTTTTGTCACGACGAAAACGACAAAGTAGTCATATAAAAAAAGTGGGAGGAAAAAGAGTGTTGCGAATCATGAGAGACCCATTTTCCGAATTTTAATGTGTGTGTTGTCCCCCCACACCGTCTTAGAATCCTCCCTGTCAAGGGGGGGGGGGGGGAGGGGGCTTTATGGGTTCGGAACCTGTCCCCCCCCCCCCCTCAAGTTTTCGCAACATTTATAATTTTTGTCTCTCTCCGACCTTTTCATCTTTTTTTGCTACCCCGATTTAATGATCCGGAAGAGACACGCATTACAGTAACCCCATAGGAACGTCGCACCCCCGGGGAGGAGGCGTTCATTGGAAAGGGGGCGGAGCGTTATGAGGGGCACACCGCGGTTATGATTGATGGATGAAGTCGGTGGGAGAAATAGTGTAGGGGGAGAGGAGAAGGGAGGGAAAGAGAAGGAGCCGAGGGGTCCTGGGTCCTAGGGAACCGGTTTTTTCTATTTGTTTACCTAGAAGGGGGATGCAAATTTTTGGGTAAGGAAAAAAGTTTTTAGGTCAAATTCAGTGAATTTAGACTGGAAAAAAAGGTTTTTAACTTAGAAAAAGGAAAAGGACTACTAGGTTTTTGAGCCAAAGTTATAGATTTTTAGGACATATTTAGGAGTTTTAGAATCTGAAAAAGGGTTTTCAGAGCAAAAATAAAAAAGAATTTGGGGTCAAAAATGGGTAGTTTTGGAGCCAAAAATGAACGATTTTGACCTAAAAACTAGTAGATTTGGAGCCAAAAATGGTGGTTTTTGGGTCAAAAAAGAAGAAATTTAGGAAACAAATGCAGCGATTTTAGGCTCAGAGAAGGTATTTTTGACCCAAAAATGTGATTTTTGACACAAAAAAAAGAAGGATTTTTGGAGCCAAAAATGAGAAATCCCGGACCAAAAACTGGCAGTTTGTGAGCCAAAGTCATAGTTTTTTAGACGAAATTTAGCGATTTTAGGCTCGGAATGAGGATTTTTGGGTTTTACAATCGGGAATTTCGGATCCGAAAAGATGGTCTAGTCAAGCCAAATTTAGGGAGTTTAGAGTCAAAAAATACGGGTTCCCCGACCCAGAAAAAAGAGGTTTTGGGCCTAAAAATCTCTGAGTTTTTTGAGGCCAAAAATATGTTTTTACCCTTCAAAATACGGGTTGCTAGGACCAAAAATGGGATTATGGGCCCCAAATATTTAGATTTTGGGACCCAAACTTAGACACTCTAGAGCTAGAATTAGAGATTTCTGGGACCAAAAATAGGGATTTTGTACCCAAAAAATCAAAAGTTTCCTAGTCAAAAGCAACCATTTTTCGTCTAAAAAATAGGGCTTTTGAACCCACAAACCCAGAATTTCAGGCCTAGAAATCCAGAATTTTCGGAACCAAAATTAAGCTTTGGCCCCCAAAATCCCTTCAAAGCGAAAAAAAAGTCAATCGATTCCTCCCTATTACTACCATATACCGTACACCACAAAAAGGAAATTTTTTTAATGGGATCATAAAAATGGCAACACCACCACATACAGACAAAGATGATGAGAAGAAGGCGTTGGTAGGAGAGGAAGACGTCATAAAAAAAATTTTCTTGCTGAGGCACCTCACCTTATGAGGCCTTCATGAGAGAACAAAACATTAAAAAAAAATGTTTTTTTGGAAAAAAAAATTAATTTTCCTAACTGAGGCACCTCATCCCATAGAGAGAAAAAAAAAATTTTTTTTGGAAAAAAAATTTTTGGCCCCCACCCTCCCCAATCTCAAAACCTCAACAACAAAAGGAAAAACTGTTTCAAAGTTTCAAAAAAAAAATAATTGGGGTGCCCTCATCTCTCTCGAGAATTAGCAAAAATTAAAATCGACGAAAATGGTTGGGAGGGAGGAGATGGACGAGAAGGTTAAGTACGCTCTATTAAACATTACAAAAGAAAAGGAAGGGGTTTAACACGGACGGAAAAAAAAAAGAAAATTGATTATTGGCGACGAAATAAGAAAAAAGGGCATGATTTGATTAACTTTTCCGCATATTACAACTAATTCGAGTTGATGGGAAGAGAGAGAGAGAGAGAGAGAGAGAGAGAGAGAGAAAGAGAGAAAAGAGAGATGATTTGTTCTAAAGGGTTACTGTAAATATGATAACAGACATTGGAAATGATGACAGATACACGAAAGATCAGAATTACAAAAAAATTTGGAAGGCCTAGCTT